TGGTGACGGGGGACACTCCCCAGTTTGAGAAGCAGGCACAAAGAGGCCACCTCGCGGCGTCAGCAGTGAGGAAGTGACCCTTACCCCTGGAAAAGGGACTCGCTGGACGAGCCCATCCACCGAGCCGTCTGTGTCTGCCAGGCTTCTCGCCAGCCAGCAGGGCACACAACCGTCACCCCATGTGGCTGCAGGGACCCACAGAGGGACAGAATGGCGCGGACCGCAGCCCCTCGCGTGCTGCCGAGTGAGTCTGCAGTGCTGCTTGGGGCCGAGCCCAGGACGGCGCTGTGTTTGCTGACGCTTTAGGGTGCTGTGCTCGACTGTATGTCTCGGTGCAAACACTGGCTGTGGGCAGCAGAGGGAACCCCAGCCCTCAGCGTACGCGGGCCGGGCTGGGCCCCTCGGAGGACTGGGGAACTGCTGACTGCTGCGCCGCTGGAGGGGACCTGGACGGGGACCTGGACAGGCTGCCGAGGAGGTCACGGCGAGGTTCTGGAAGGAGACAGTACAGTCGCCCTCCCCAAGTTAGGGCAGACGGTGCTGTGCCAACCACCGGAGTAACTCGTGCTCGTTAAATTACCAAGCGAGGAGAAAATGAGTAAGTGACCCACGAATTCCCCCAGGAGAAAACCGCCGTAATGCCACCTCCTCCCTTCCCCCCCACCTCGTGTACAGCATGGTGGGTGCTGCGGGCGCACACACGCGTGCAGCATACCCTGTGCACACACGCAGCACGTGCTGCTCTTCCTCAACGAGCATCTGCCTTACTTAGAAATCTGCGAACATTTCAGTGTCAAGTGCACGTTAAACTGTTGCTAACTCAACCCGCTCCTCCGGGGGGACGGCGAGGGGTCCAGAGACAGCTGGAAGGCACTGGGGGCCACCGCCACGCTGCCTTCCAGAGGACACGGGGCAGAGGCTGACTCATGCCAGCGTGTCACTGAATCTAGAACCTCCTGCTCATTCAAGGGTCAGGGGACAGCGCCTTCTAAGGCGGATGTCTGCATCTCTGGGAGTCAGGGAGGCCGAGTGCTTCTTCCTGGCTTTGAACCCGTTTACCGTTTGCCCCAGGAACACTCGCCAGCGGTGCTTACGGCTACAGCGTTTACCCCAAGATAACTCGTGGATTACGGTCCTAACCTGCCCCCCAGAGTTTGCCACAAAATATCTTGTCTTTAGTACCATTTTCACATTGTTCTGACATTTCGATAGTCTTTAAAACAAATGACATCATTCTATTCATAGCATTGTTTTTAGTACAGTGCATTCTCGATCGCTGAAAATGTCGAACTCTAGAAAACGTTGCATTCCTAGGTGTGATGTGAACATTTCTCGTGAACAGTTGTCAGCCAGACTCATCTGATGAATCCGATGTACGCATATGGTTATGTTACATCAGGATTAGAGACCAGTTCTGTTTAGGAACAACTCTAAGAAGGTTTTATAGTTCGTTTTCACACTGAAAACCAGTCAGATCTGCCTCAAAGAACGTGTTTGTGTAAAATTAAATGAACGCTGGCAGCGAGCGGCACTTGTTTTTTCTAAATGGGAAACGGGTTAAGCGGGCACATTTCCGCTTTCGTGAACTGCCTCTCCACGTACACACCGTGCCCTCGCGTTCTGGCTGAACGGCTGTCATCTTGAACGACAGTTTACATACGCGGACGAGTCAGCCTCACGCCTGTTTTCCGGCTTGCGTGTTGCCTATTCTTCTGCACCGCAGATGATCTGAGTGTCACGCTGCCCATGCAGTCACACCTACTGCTGTTCTGTCCCCGACTTCTTTCCTGCTGTCACGCTTGGAGTGTCTTCCCCCTTCTACGATCGGCACTTCCTACTCACCTGCATTTCCTACTTCCGTTTTTCAGTTTGCTTCTTTTTAAAGCACAGTGAATTATTTAATGGCCCAGACTTCCCTTGAGAACAAGCTTCTGGGTGTCTACACAATCTCTCTGGGTCCTCATGCAACCCAGTGATCAGCCCCACAAAGACCACCCAGAGGCTCCCCATTCTGCGCATTTTATGAGTTACTCCAAAGGAAAGACTGGGGAGGGGGCAGGGTCTTCACTCTGTTGCTTCAGGGTGAATTAACACGTAACCTTAGCAACAAGTACGGGAGGCTCTCCTGCTCATTCACTCACTCCGTGCCTCCCACTGCGATTCAGGGGGACGTGAGCCCCAGGCCTCGAGGGGTTCCAGACTGTTCCGTGAGCCAGCACGGCAGGGCCTCTGGGCGGCGGAAGCCCGCATGCGGCCGAGGGCCAGGCGGGGTGGGGGCTGGGGGGGCCGCGAGGACGACGCTCACCTCTGGGTGCTTGCGCCGCATGTGCCGGCTCATGGAGGCCCGCGTGGACACCTTGGTCCCGCACAGCTGGCAGCTCTGCGCCTCCACCCTGTCGTGGGTGAGCTGCACGTGCTTCTGCAGCATGTACTCGGTGACGTACTTCCTGTCGCACACGGAGCACGTCCACTGCTTGCCCACTGCTCGCACGCACACACACACACACACACACATACACACACAGGGACGAAAAGAGAAACACGGGTCACGCGCGGGGACATCCCACGGTGCGGACAGGCGGGGAGGGTGTTCCACCAGGTCAGGGCCTGGGACCAAGCAGCACGGCCCGAGACGAGTATGGGGGCCCCCTCCCTCGCTGAGCGGGGGGCCACGTCACCACTCTGGTACCAGTGGGCTCATTTCCAGGGGGGCAGGGGCCGCCATTACGCAGAGCGGCACCCGACGTCTGAAAGGGTCCCCACCGCCGCCCCAGGCTGCACCACCCCAGGCTGCGCCGCGCTCACCTGTGTGGATGAGCTTGTGGGTCTCCATGGTGTTCCTCTCGCTGAACGTCTTGCCACACAGCTCGCACATGAAGTCTTTAATCCCTGCAGAAAGACGCGCATGTCACAGCGCCACAGCTTCACACACACAGGGCGTCTTGTCCCCAACCTGTTTCGGTACTTGGAGAGGCCGCAGGGGACGGTGGACGCCAGGAGCCAGTGCACGCTCATGCCCATGCTCGTCAGAAAACTGGCTCGTACAGCCTGCCCCATCGGGGCTCAGCCAGCTCCTTCTGCAGAAAGGGGGGCAGGTGGGTTTTGGCCCAGGGCCCCGGGGACTGCCAGACGTTCTGCGTTAGCGGAGTCTGATTCAGTGAGCTTTACTCTGCACTGGATCATAAAAACCAAAGGCAGAAGCCACGCTAATAACACTTATGGGGTTGCTTTTACGGTTTCTGTCAGCTTCATTTCGGTACTGGGTGGCCCGTCAGTCACTCGGCCTGGGGTGGTCACCTGCAGCCTGGTGAGCAAGCGTAGGGTCACCGGACTGCGCCACACTCCCCAAAGTGACAGGAAGGTAGATGCTGAGGATGCCTCTTACACAAAGGTCCCCAACAGGAGCAGTGAGCTTAAAGGTCCACCCAACTCGGTCCTGTGTGTATGCACAGGGCCCTGGGCTCACTGTGGCTGGAGAAGGGACAGACGGCAACAAAGGTCACCTTCCCCCTCCAGTGGCTGATGTAGCGACAGGCGGTATGCAGTGCTGTGGAACCCAGAGGGCCATGACCCCGTCCTGGGGGATGAGAAAGACCCCAGAAAAGCTGGTGGCACCCTGGGCGCACTTCCCCAGGAAGAGGACAGCGCAGTTCTGTACAAACCCAGGGACGGGGGCCTGGCAGCCCAGGGGACCCAAGCGGGCCTGCGTGCTGGCCTGGACAGCTCGGGCAGTGAGGGAGGAGGTGCCCAGGTAAGCTGGGCCGGGGGCCATGACAAGTTCCATCTGTTCTGATGTCTGCATTAATTCTCGCTCCTACACACACACTTATCCATGTATAAACACTGAAAAAATGAGATCGTGTTCATTGTTGCAGAGGCTTTTCCTCCTGCTGTTTCATGAGCTTCTGTGTAAATTAATGTGCACGTCTAGTCGTTCTGAATGGGTGCATTGTTGTTTTCTGTGAATGCACAACGCAGCCTAGCGATGGACACTTGAGATGTCCCAGTGTCTTCCATCCCGGACATGATGGCCGCTGGCGCCACGCCCCTGGGCCCCTTTCCGGTCACCCACAGGGAATGGCTGAGCAGCAGGCGAGGATACTGCAAAACCGGCAGGTCTCGCCAAACGCCCCCGGGTGAGGGGGCGAGAGGCGGCGCCCGGGCCCCTGCGCATGCGCGGTGACTGGGTG